ACACCTATGGTGTATTTTAGTAAATCTATAAATAAATTGTTAAAAAATGAAATATATAAAAATTACTTAATAAATAAAATATAATCCTTTAATAACATATTTAATATATAGTATTAATTTTGTTATTTTCTCAAAGATGTTTATACTATTATTATATATATGATAATGCTAATATTACTCATAATAAAATTTGAATTATTGATATTAATAATGGTTTTAGTATTTATAATAGTATTATTAATATTAAAGTTGATGATTTCTGTTGTATAGTATAAAATTAATATATTCTATTAGTTATATAATCTAATAGTCTATTAAAAGAGTAAATATAATTAATTTACAAAACCTGCTCCTAATATTCCTATAGCTACAGCACATATATCTGATATCTTTAAAGCTAATACTCTAACTGATACTTTTCAATCCATTGCCCAACATAATTATAACTATTCTGAATTTTCTTTCTACACAGATAGTTCTGTTATAGAGCTTGGATCACCTCAATACTCCATGAAAATCGGATGGATACAAATCTAACAAAACAATATTTTGTAATCTTTTAATATACAAATCAAACTCTAGCCATGTTTCTTCAAAGCTGAACTTACCACTATCTTGTTGGTACTTTTTACAGTATCCAAAAACTGTACAGTTCATATTTATACAGATTTACAGTCTGTAATATCCAAGTACAACAATATTAATCAAGCTTTTCTAGTCTAATCTCTTATACACACACTATATCACTCTCCATGGTTAGTTTTATCAACTTTTACAATCTACAAGTCAACTTTCACAAGGTTGATGCCCACCAAGATGATGAATTCAATAACCAAGCTGATCAACTGGCCTGAAACTATCTTAACTTACCTTATTTAATATTTAAACCATATAATATATACAACCCTAACTATTCTTTTGCTGATAACAACTTCCCTATCTACCAATTCAAAGATGTATCTGTATAATCTGTCATGCCCAAATATACGCTCTCTAGTTATCCCAAAACTGAGCTCAACAATGGTTACAGGTTCTTAGTCAAATTCACTGGCAAGCTACCTGGCTATATATTAATAACAACCAAAAGATATTCATTTATCAACACAGCATTCAATCATCTACCTTAAAATCATTTCGCATTAAAATTCTGCTCGATGAATTGCCTACTCCACATGTTTTACACAAATATAACTCTGCATATCCACCAGTATGCTATCAATGCAACCAAGTTAGCACTATGCTTCATTAGGTTGCTTGCCCAACTTCACAGTTACTTAAAAACTTGATTTCTAGCTCACTTCAATCAACAATTAACTTATCAAGTCTTGACTCTTCAAGTGAATCTATCTCTAATATACATTAGCAAATCTTAAACCTTTAGTATATGCAAATTTACAACTTATCTAATTCACTATCACTCCTATCAACACTCTCAGGCCTTATTCCTAATGAACTCATTTTAGTCCTTGCTGACATTACATCATCTAACAAAATCGCAATATCTCTTGCTGTCAAATTCTTATTACATCTCAATAAACAAATTTATACCTCTATTTGGATCCTATACTGCATCTCCAGATCCCAAGCCAATATTTCTACTTCTTTGCTACCCCCTTCATCCACTTTATCTTCCCAATCTCAGCCTTTACTTTATTCAGTTGCTAGTCACAAATTTGAACTATGGCTTCTAAATGAATCAAATCCCAAATTAACTTTCATAATATACTTCTAAATCTTCAAATCTAGGTGAGCTTTGGCTACACTGATAGGTTTAGTCTGCAGATAATTATGTTATTATAACATTGTGTCTGAGTCTCTAGTCTTAGCATCTATTGAATATAACTTTCAAATGTAATTTCTTTCCTATATATAATTTATATAAAGGAACTCAATTGAATTTCAATAAAGTTAGAGACATGGTCTCACCTTTTAAAATTAAAAAAAAAATAATTAATTTACAAAGGTGTTAATATAAATAAAAAAATTTTTTGTGATATTGTACATTTTGAAATAGTGTTCTGACCCATCACAAAAATTCCAACTCAGGTAGTAAAAGAAATTCAGCATAGAAATTTATATATATAATCATTAGTTAGTAATGAGTGTGAAAGGATGGATCATTGCTTGTAATAGATTTTTCTATATTTGATAGATCAAATGTATATTAGATTTAGCAAACTAGAAAGATTTGACTTATTTTGTATACTGAGGTGGCTCAGATTGAATCTAGCCAAAATTAGTTAATACTTGTTAAAAAGTAATAAGTAGAAGAAAATCCAATTTTATAAATTTTGTGAATTTTGTGTATTTTGTAATTTTGTGAATTTTGTGAATTTTGTGAATTTTGTAAATTTTGTGAATTTTGTGAATTTAGTAGCTTTAGTGCTTTTCAAAACTTCTATAAAATGATGCTTTATCTAGATAATTTATATTGTATAAAGTAATAATGTAAAAATATAAAAGAGGTGTTTATTTGCCTTACAAATAAACACAACTCAGTGAGTTTAACAACTCAGTAGAGTTCAACAATCTAAGTTAAAAAAATTAGAGTATTTAACTTGAGAGTAGTAGAAGCATTTGTTCTATTAATTTGCCTCAATAAGTAAAATCTGAGAAAATGGTTGGAAGTGATCAAATTCTGTAATTCTGAATAAGAAAATCTGTGACATAATCAAAAATTCTAATTTGATACTATTACTAAGAACTCAATTAACTCTGTTTACTCAGACCAAGTCTTTTTACGCCTCGATCATTGCCTTACCACTACTACAGATTTAGTTGTATTAGTCATAATGTTCTGGTTAGAGTAGTGTAGTAGTCTAGAATTGTGTGGTAATGTGTAGTTGTATTACATAGAACTGGTAGATTATTTTTCCCTTTTTCAGTTTGGTGGTAACTAGTGTTTAAAAATGGATTAAAAATCCTGATTAATCTGGGATTAACCTGAATCCGATCTGAATCTGTAATTCAGATTGAATCCAGGAGTGATCTGTGCTAATCTGACGGTTTATCATATATATTTATCATAATATAAGTGATAAATTCGAATTTATCATATGACAAATTCGAATTTATTACTTATATTGTAGTACAAAATGTGATATATTCGAATTTATCATGTGATAAATTCGAATTTATCACATAGAGTAATTATATAAAGATATGCCCTAAAATTAGGCCCAATCTCGCTCAATCTGGGCCCAATCTGACGTTTCAGAGGTTAAACCTAATTTGACAGTTTGGATCTGCACAAATCTGAATCCGATCTATGCTAACTTTTTCGAACACTAGTGATGACTGTGAGATTGAACTTCTCTAATCACCCAAATCATAATACAAATCCAAATAATTATTGTACAAAATAGAGAATGGTTAATTCAGAGAAATATTAGTTTAAATGTTTAAAAATATCCTTAGAGAAGTTAAAAAAGAAAAGATAAAAGCTACTTACTGTTACGCTGGTAATGAAAAAGAACATCATGGATTTAGGTCCTATAGCTTAGCAGTTAAGCTGCCAAACCCCACAGACTAGATCGATAGTTCAAGTTAGACTGAAGGCAAAAACTTTGGATTTTAGCTTCTGTAATCCAAAAGAGAGCTGTTATTAAATGCGGAGCCTTGTAGCAAGTCCAAGTGAAGTACAAGACCAGAATAAGAAATTCTCAGAAGGAGATCTAATCATAGAGTGGTGCACTATGGCATGATAGTAGTATCACAGAAGGTTCTGTTATACACAATTAGATTGATCTATAGTATAGGTAAGTAACAAACATAGGTTAGTAGATTAGGGTTAGTTTTTTTATATATAACAGGGGTGTAATATAAAAATATAAATTTTAACCATATAGTATTATAAAAATTTCATATATTTTTTGTATAATATATCTATTTGTCACATCATTAGTCATCACATATATTATATGCCCATCTATACTATATATAATTCCAAGGTTGCTTAAATAAGTCTTCCAGTTGGGGTGACCTAGAGGCTATACCAACATCTCTATACAATAAGTGTGAGGTACTTGCTTGGAAAAGTAATATGAATAATAAAACTGGAGTAGTGAGAAAAGTGGTGAATATGAGGATGATCTGTGCTAAAGGATTGTACTAACCAGAATTGGAACACCTCTAGCCATATAAATAGGAATGAAAGTATAATGATGTACATTATTAACATCAATAATAAGTGCTATACTTGTGCGCTATAAGTCAAGGTTACAGAGTTTCCTTGCAGTACCAATCTGGTAGTGGCTGTAGCAGAAGGCATTACCACCTTTGGAAGCATGTTAAGTAAGTAATACACTGCAGAATAACAATTGAATATTCGATAAATCTGGCTATACCGATTGGTACCAATACATAGAGGACTATGTACACCAACTTGGAAGCTCTAAAAGAAGCAAAAACCTTCAGCTAACACCAAGCTGAGAGAATAAAAAGTTGCTGCAGAAAGTAGAAGGTGGTCATTGTATAATTAGAAAATATAGTAGATCTTGTATAAAATAGGAGGGTCGTACTTCATCCCAGAATTGATAAATAGAGTTATCAATTAGTTCTAAATAGAGAAATTTACAATTAGATTGCTAGGGTGGATGTTATTAGAAATAATGTAGCACTACTTATATACTATATACTAATGTAATTCTTTAATTGAAATTAATAAAGTCATAGCACTATAGCGATTTAAAAAAAAAAAAAAAAAGATCATCATGCACAAGTTTCTGAAAAACAGCCCAAATGATTAATCCAAGAATGATCAAAAAGAGTAGACAATGTGACCTTAGAAGATCGATGCGAAAGATGGATAAAAAAAGTAAACTGATTTCAAACAACCTCATATGCCAATACTCATTCCTCAAACTGCTAATCTAATATCTGTAAATACTGTAAGACTGAGCCAACAAGTTCAGAAAGTTTATATAGCCAATATAGTTGCAAGCTTGAAAGATAAGAAAAACCAACCCAAGGCATCCACTAATTATTAAAAGATAGCAGGTATGAACTATGCTGATAGAACAAGTAAACTTGGCTCCAAAAGTAAAGTAGAGATTAAAACCAACAGAATCGAAGAAAGAAGCGATAAGTTTTCTAATGAAGGAACCCTACTTGAACTCTCGAAGAGTATAGCTAAAAAGGATGAGGATAAAATGTTTAGTTATCATCAAAAACTAGACAATATCACCTATAAACATGTTGACTTGAGCAGTGCCAATAAAACATATAGTCTCAGATATCATTATAAAGATAGAGCTGAAAGTGTTAGTAAATGTTACCGAAATAGAATAGAAAATTAAAAGAATAGATATAAGCATACTTCAATTATCAAAGATCAATAGAGATGAATCTTGTGGAAGAATCACATAATGCTAGTAATTGTTATAATCATGAAGTTGGAATCAACAAGGATAAAGACACAGTGTTCGAATATTCTCCAAAATCAAATATGACAAGAAATTTAATCAGACCCTATAAGATTGGTTATGGAATTGGCATTGAAAAGAACGAAGATAAAGCATTTGAATGGTATTCGAAATCTACTAAAAAAAGCAATCCAGAAGAACAAAGTTATCCTGGATGTTGCTACTGTCATAGCATAGAAACCAATAAGGATGAAAATAAAGTGTTTAAATAGAATATGAAATCTTATAAAGAAGCTTAAAAGGCTAATATTAATAATATAATGAATGAAAAAGCGCAATTGCAACCCAAGAATAAGATGACAGCCAAACTGGTGAAATATGAAAAGTTAAGTAGGCAAAGACAACAAAAATTGAAGTATCATGACACCACAAAGCAATATAGAGAAGTACTCTATATTTACACTTGCTCAATGGCTACAATTTGGTTATGAATCTTTCTAAAGAGCTACTGCTGCTGCGAAAATGGATTATTGAAGTGTCTCAGCAAAAAATCGTCTAACAGGAAATCATGAAGGAATTTGGTATTGACCCTAAAATAGAAGAAAAGATCATTAGTTCTAAATATGCAAAAAATTTTTTTTACTCAGAATTTCTAAGACCGTAATATTTTGAAGTCAAAAAAAAAAAAAAAAAAAAATTTTTTTAAAAATAAAAACTTACTAATGAATGTTTCAAAGTTCTTAAATCTGAAGTTAAGCTAAATTCAAACCAGGTTGTCGGTATCCTAGTATTAATATAAGATCGAAGCAAAACAGCATAAAAATAAAAATCTGTAAAAAGATGAATATAACAGCAAAGAGGATAGTTATGACAGTGGTGTGCGAGGATGGGGCACATTATCTAGAAAAAATAGAATTCAAGAAAATGGATGGCAAGAAGTAAGGATGCATCCATATCGATGGCAGTTGAGCTATAAGAAGAAGTCCTGAATCGATATCAAAGCATAACTGATTAGCGAAGAATTAGAGGACAGGAATAAGAAAGGAAATGTATACATTGTCTACTGGATAAGACTTGAGAAAAGCATCAGAGAAATGTCAAAGTGTATTTGCAAGTTAACCAAAATGGTATCAGAATTGAAAAGAATGAGCCTGAAGTATGTATAAAAAAACAACTTACTCAAAACTTTGATCCAGAATAGAAATCCAATGTAAATCCAGTTAGGTTTAGGTAGTGGGTAGCTAGCATCTAGACAATTGCAAAGATTTTTAGTTAGATTTATTTTTACTTTTATTTTTTATTTTCTCTTCATTATTAGTTTTTCTTGGTTTTCTTTTTCTTTTTTGATTGTGTTAATTTTCTTGTGAAACTCAAAATTAAGCTGGAGAGACTGTGAAAAGATAGATCGTTGTTTGTAATAGATTTTTCCATATTTGATAGGTCAGATGTATATTAGATTTAGCAAACTAGAAGGATTTGGCTCATTTTGTATGCTGAGGTGGCTCAGATTGAATCTAGCTGAAATTAGTTAGTACTTGTTAAAAAATTAGTAAGTGGAATAAAATCTAATTTTGTGAATTTTGTGAATTTCGTAAATTTTGTGAATTTTGTGAATTTTGTGAATTTTGTGAATTTGATAAATTTTGTGAATTACTGGTATTAATAATTATATCAACTCCACTGAACTAGATCTATTAGCAGACCAGAAGGCTAACCATATATACCAACTACAACATCATGAGGCATTAAATGCTGTAGCAATACAGCCTTCATTACACTATTTAGAACTTACAATTAAAGGCTTAATTCCTAACTCTATAGTGCAAATAGTTCAAAACTACCATATATCTTATAAATAAGCATCTCACATCTACAGGTCAAAATTAAAAATATCATCATTATATTATCTAATATTGTCGTGGCCAATTGCAGTATTATGGGGTCTTGTTCGTTTTCACTTAGACAGAATACTCACTTGGTGCTGGTGTATCGTACCAGGCACTGCCATCACTTCACTTCGACGCTACAAGGGCGACCACTTAGTTTTTAATAAGAACGTTACTAAAGCCAAACTTAAATGCTCTCTTTATTATTATAAGATCGCTTACATTTAAATAAAAGATTATCCCGGATATATTATTACCTAGGTTACATGCATTAAACTATCACTAGATTAGACTTTAAATTAATTTCATGCAAATCTGTATCATGCCACTTATGCAAATCCCGATTCAGATCGAACCTGGCACCACGAAATCACAGGGTACCGAATTACAGCATGACAGGAGCTAGACCCCCAGAAACTTCGTCCTGAAGTTTCAACCCCTGCAAAACAATTTTCCAACACTCATCATCCATGTGAAATACCTAACATTACTAACAACCTATATACTAACACACTAATAATACAATATATTGTTCAATTAACACATACATTAACACTAAAAAAATGTTTTTGATTTTTATTTTTATTTTTATTTTTTTTTTTACTAACGTAATTCATTCTCAATATCCATCATTACAAACGCTCTTGAGATCGCAACGTTTGTATATCCATTCTTCTGAGTTTACGCACATCAAGACAGCTTCCAAACACTGCATTTTCCAATCCATTGCACCCAACAGCGTGGTCCAAATACAGCTGCTTGAGAAAGTTGATCTTCTTACCACCACACAATATAGCCTGATTCATTGGTTCATAATCGCACCAACACCAAACATTTCAATCATTCGGCGGTTTGTTTCACATGCACTGGCTAAGTCCTTTCTTCGATTGTTCATCATTATTATGCTATTCAATGTTCACTTTGCGTTTAACTGACCCTGGGTCACTTCATCAGCTCTCAAATTCCACCCAGACTCTTTACGTTCATCCTCAGCAGATCTTTGGTGGTTAATGGATGCTGCACGCTTTTCTCCTTCAATTCCTATTCCACTTTGGTAGTGACTTCGAACATCAAATGCTCCATCAGGATTACCCGCATTAGCATATCTTTGATAATGAATGAATGGCTCACATTCATCCTTCTCTATACCACCGCCTTTTTTATAACAACACCCAAGACTATTTTATCCACACACATTATCACCTTTCGCTGACTTCAAATACCATTCAGGTGCCTTGTTTCCATCCTCAGACGTTGTTCTTTCGTTATTTTCAGTGTTACTAGCATTTTCTCTTAAATCCTTATCCTCTTCATCACAATCCATCATTATCATTCTATTTCCCCAATTTCTATCTTTTTCAGCCATCTCAACTTTATCAACCTTATCATCAGAATGGATCTCAGCTCTACCATCTGGAGCTTTACTCCCATCATCATTAACTATGAACTCTTCAGCACCATTCAGACTTCGGTTTACATTTGACAACCACATGGGACGTTTAATGCGACACTTCATATTCACTATACTACTCATTGTCTTCCTACCCTTCATCAAGTCGTTATTTTCAAATTCAACAGTGCTTTCGTCAGAACTAATCTTAACTACATCGGCTGCAATTGCACTTTCATCAGATTTCAAGTTCTGTTTAACCATCGTTTCATTATTATCATAGAAACTTATACCATTTTGATGGCACAGTCTGGGGTTGCATTGTCCTTTTAGATCGTCACCTTCAGCAGAATTTCAGCAATAACTGAATGCCTTATGTTCTTCCATTTCAGCTTCATCCACCTCAGCAGATTTCCAATAACATATGGCTGCCCTTTTTTATCCCTTTTGACTCCATTCTCTCTTTCATAACAATATCCAACCCTACATACTTCACTAACATCATATACGCCCATAGGTTTTTGATAACTTTCAAATGTTTCGCCTTCGTTACTTGCAGTTCTTTCTTTGTCAGAATTTTCAGGTATGTTTGTCAGTTTCACTTCTTTCATATGACTTGTTCATTCATGGTTCACCCTACTCATCTCCTTTTTATCCTTTTCCCCTTTTCTACACACTACTCTAAAATTATACTCTATGTTCGTTGCATTCCCAATTCCGTCATTACAATAACCGACTCTATACGTTCTGTTTGCGTTTTCCACCTCCGCTGATCTTTGATAATACCCAGGCATTTTCCTTTTGTCCTTGTGACCTTCGTGCTTCACTCCCGTGAACTTCATAAATCTAATATCACTCATTTTCGGGCTTATTTGCAACGGACAGGACCAGGCATAATGCTCTTTTTTCTGACATACACAACACAGCCGAGGTCTGTAGCGTTTTCCTCTTGCCTTTTGTTTCTTCAAACTTTTCACCACTTCGAACACTAATCCGATCATACTTTCAACCAGCGTCACCAAACGATTTTTGCCTTCCATCTTCTTCGATTTCACCACTCCGGTAATGTTTTTTTTTTTTTTTTTTTTAAACTTTAACAGTAGCCACCCTTGGCTTATGCTGTTGTTATTATTTTCAGGGTCTTTATAAAGCTCCTGACACACACCCAAGATACTCTCATTCTTCACAATGTATGTCCAAGTAAGTAAGTGTTTGTTTCATTTCTTAATTAGCGTCCTTGTTTTATTCTTTTACTTCGCGCTAACAATGTTCTCTTGTCTCCTCTTATGCTAACATCACTTGTCACTTGAGATCACACAGAATTCAATAGAATTCAGCAAGTAGGACCTTCATTTGCCCAGGTCATTCTGTGTGGCCAATTGTAGTATTACGGGGTCTTGTTTATTTCCACTTAGACAGAACACTCACTTGGTGCTGGTGTATTGTACCAGGCACTGCCATCACTTCACTTCGGCGCTACAAGGGCGACTACTTAGTTTTTAATAAGAACGTTACTAAAGCCAAACTTAAACGCTCTCTTTATTATTATAAGATCGCTTACATTTAAATACAAGATTATCACCTGATATATTATTACCCAGGTTACACGTATTAGACTATCACTAGATTAGACTTTAAATTAATTTCATGCAAATCCGTATCATGCCACTTATGCAAATCCCGATCCAAATCGAACCCAGCACCACAAAATCACGGAGTACCGAATTACAGCATGACAAATATCGTCTATGATAATAGCAGGCCAATAGGCTGTTGGCTATAAACTTATTAATTAAATATAAAAAAAGCCAATAGGCTGAAGATTTTAGTAAAATATGTTACATATCAGTTTAATGCCAGATAAAAATATCTATTTATCATAAAGAA